CGGGCTCATGCAGAGCAAGCCCTAGTGTCTCTGTGTGCACCACCTGCCGGTCATGGTCCACTTCCATCACCAGGGCTCCTGCCTCTGCCAGCCACAGGGTGTAGGGAGGAGGACAGATTAGTGCCAGGCCCCACCAGCAGGCTGCCCTCAGCCACCTGCTGCTAAGTAGGTACAGCCCCAACCCTGGATCCACTCCAACCCCCAACCTCAGTTTCCACATCTGGAGAGTGCAGAAAAAGAAGAGTATTGTCCTCAGAAGCCACGGAGAATCCAAGAGTGCCAGTGTGCCTCGTGTCTGCAACAAGTGTCCCAGAGCTCACCCTGGCCCTTGAAGATGAAGCTTCTCCGGCCACGCTGCCAGGTCATGTGCTCAAACCCCAGGAGACTGGTGTCCACCCGGAGGCTCTCACCCCGCTTCCACACTCGGTACACATCACTCGGGCACATCTTGGACACAAGGGGCACTGCAGGGAAAGCCAAAGTCACTAGGGATCTCCCCCAAAGTCCACTCCAGGTCTCTGGCCACCAAGTGATCCTCACTCACCCCAACTGGTAAACTCCCACTTCATCTCCACGTAGAAATCGGGGGCCTGAGAAAGACCAGAGATGCCCGTGAGGCTCATGCACCTGCCGGGTGCTGGGGGTCAGCAGGTCTGGGGAATCCTTGTCCACCACCGCTCTGGGGGACCCCAGCAAGTCTTGATGCACTGCCATGGCCCAGCTAAGCCCCATCCCAACCCCGACCAGGAGGGGCTGGGCCAAGCGGGGTCTGGTCTAGGCCTAAGGAAGCTATAAGAATCTGGAGGCCTTGTCTGGTCTTGAGCTGGTCACAAGCCCACTGGGGTCCTTTGCTGCCTCTGTGTCTGAGAGGCCCTGCCTGTGAAGGGAGCCCACTGACTCCTCCATGACTGTTCCTGGAGCAGCGGGGGAGGGAGGCATGAGGTAGTTGGACTTTCGCTTACAGAAGGGCAGACAGAACCAGGCATTCCAGGCACAGGCATCTCTGGGAAGTCAACCTCCTTTTAGGAAATCTGCACTCTCCAGGATGCCCAAAGTCTAAAGCTCCACAGAGATTTCTGGCACCAGAGGCCCCTTCATGCCAATGAAGGCTCCTTTCAAAGGGTCCAGTCTCACCCCTGGGGCCTGGGATCCTCTCCTTTGTACATGACCCTGGGCTGGGGTCAAGACAGTGGTGGGGAAGCATGATGCATGGGCTGAATGCTCTTCCAAGGTCAGTCCTGGCCGGGGGGTGGGGGAGCCGGGGTGGCAACCCCCTTGCTGGTTATATCCTGTGCCCTGCCATACCTGGCGGAGTTTGTTGAGCAACTCTGGAATGCCAGCTAGCCTCTGCGTGGCCCTCTGAAAGTCACGATACTGGAGCACCAGCTGCACCATCTCTGGGTCTCCAGTGCTGACCGCCTCCTGCAGGACTGGGGACATGTGGCTGCTGAGGGAAACCTCCCCAGTGGTCCCCGGCCTGGCCACTCACTCCACCTACAAACCATCCTGCCAGTCTCAAGGGGAGCCCCTCTGCCCTCTGCAGTACCTGCCCAGCCCTGACGGCTCTCTTTGCCCACATTGGCATTGTGTCGAAGGAGGACTCTCACAGACTCCAGGTTCCCCAGGGACACAGCCAGTTCCAGGGGGGTCCGACCTCGGGGGTCCTCCTGTTCAATGTCGTGCTGAGGGAGATGGGACACTCAGCACAGGCAAGAGAGGAGAGGCCAAGGCAAGGAGGTTATGGGGTTGAACGCGGAATACAATCACTGTGGGAAACCAGGAGGAAGCCAGGCCAGGGAGATGGCAGAGAGTGGCCTGTGTATCCTGGCAGGGGACGGGAGGGGACGGCTGGGAAGGAATTGGCCACCTCCCCTGCCCGATGCCAACAGGCAGAGCTTGGGGGCCTGGTGGTGGGGTCTGGTTAGGCAAAGGTGAGCGTGAGGAATGTGGAGTTTGGTCCAGCCAGGGCACCAGGAATGGGATCTTGTTTTCAGCCTGGCTCAAGGGTGACGCGGGTGAGTTCGGGGAATTGATGCAGTGTGAGGGGGTTGAGCGTGGATGGAGGCCCGGTGCGGGGAGACTGGGCCAGAGTGCTCTGGCGCGAGGGCAGGTGACTGGGCTTCGGATCAGGTTGGGGCTTAGGGAGCCGGGATGCAGACGCGGAGCTGAGCAGGGGCGGACGGCACCCAGGATGGAGACTGCTGCCCTGGGAAGGGGCCCGGCGTGGCCTCACCTGGCGACTGTGCAGCGCGGCCTCCAGTTCGCGGTGCCGGTTTGCCCAGACGAGCCGGTGCAGCGGGAAGGTGGGGCCCGGGCCAGCCATGCTGGGCCTCAGCGCCGCATCCCGGGCGGGCAAGCAGGCGCGGCGGGGGCGGCCCAGCCCCGCTCGGCTTCGGGCCTGGCGCGGCGCCCTAGCCTTCGCTCGGAGCCGCGCCCCAGCTGCGCCCACCGCAGCCCCGCCAGCCCCTCGGCCGCAGCAGCTGCAGCGGCGCCGGCGGCAGGGAGGGCGGGGTAGGGGTCCAGGTGGGCGGGGCTTCTTAGGATGGGGCGGGGCGTCGGGCCGCCTGCCCCCTAACCTCCCGCAGCTGCGATCACTGCAACCCGGCCCTTGTGCTGCGGGTGGGCTGGGGGTGCTGCCAGGAATACCTCGCGAGCTCGCGAGCTCCGAGAAAAGCCAGGACAGGGTCTCTGCCCCGGAGTTAGTCCCGCAAGGGTCTGCGGGGGGCGTTCCAGAGGGCGGGGCCTTACTGCAACTCCGCCCACGACCTGCAGGGGGCGCCCCAGACCCGGCGTAGATACCCTCCTTGCCGGGTCCGGAAGGGGAGGAAGGAGGCCCGGGGGCGGGGAGGCTCGGCGCTGGGCGGGGACTGGGCACCCTTGATGGGTATCGCGCGTGTGCGCGTGCGTGCGCAGCTGGACCGCGTCCTACTGTCAATCGGTCATCCGCATTTCCCTGGCCAATCCCCGTCCATGCCCCTGTCTCCTTAACCCCGGTGGGGTCCTGAGGGCACCGACTGAGCCTGTCTGCTGCTGAAATGGGAGGTCCTGGCCCCATCACTGCTGGGCAGAGAACTGAGCATTCTGGAGATGAGCACCCAGCAGTTGCCTCTACATGGGCCAGCTGAGCCTAAATAAAGCCCCTTATAAAGACCTGGGCGAATGTGTGAAGGCCACCACACCTCGGACTGGACCCACCGACGCGGGGAGGCGGGCCCTAGGGCATTGGAGTTAAGGATGGAAGTATGACACTACGCAGGAAGTAAGGGGACGCAGGTCCACCTGGCGTCAGAGCCTTCTTGGTGGAGGACAGTCCTCAGTGAATGCTACCACCACAGTGGGCAGTTTTGCAAAGGATGCACTTTTGGAGGCCAGGAGAAGAAGGGTTTCGAAACAGCCATCACCTCCACCCACACTGAAACTGTGGTGCAGGTCTTAGCTCAGTACTGCCCTTAGATCTGGGAGGCTGGGCCTGGGGTCTCTGGTCCTGGTTTTGTTGGGCGATGAGGCTGCAGCCCGGGCTTCCCAAGGCTAAACCTAAGGTCTTGGTTTCCCTTTTTGTAAAAGGACTAGACAGTGTGATAGAGAAGGGCTAATGGCTATTTAGCTCTTACTCAAAGGCGGCCTCATGTTGGAGTGTCTGGGCTTGGAGCCTGTAGTCTTGAACACAGTTCCCCACCAGCCCTTACTTCTGCATTGCCCCTCCACTCTTCCAGGCCCCTTCTCACCCACCAACTCTCAAGTCAGGCTTCTCCCTGGGCAAGAACTTGTCTTCCCTCATCATTACCCTGAAGCCACCTTTGGGATATCTTTGGCCATGTGTCCCATTAGAATGTGCAAAACCAAATCCAGTCACATTTCCTCTCTTCCTTTCAGGCCAACTCTGCTGTGGTGTCCTGCCTCGGAATGGTGCTTCCCTGTGTTCCATCTCAGAGTCCCACCCCTCTCATCCCCAAGCCCAGCAAATTCCTGCTGGGCCGTGTTCTTCCATCTGGCCTTTCTCATCTCTTCCTCTGCCCCTACCATCAAGAGGACATCTTGGACAGAAGCAGTGACCTGCACCTGCCTCCTGCCCTTGGCTTCTGTTGGTGTCTTGACGCAGTGGCCAGCCATTTGTTTTAGAGTCAGCCCGGTCAGAGCCTTCAGGGATTCCCCTCCCTGCACATCTTCCCTGCAGTCACCAGGCAGCGGGGCTCCCTGTTGGGTTGAGCAGGCCTCTCAGGCCTACTTCCTTCCTTCGTGCACTGTCAACCGGAGCCACTTTTGAGTGCCTGGCCCCTCCCAGAAACATCCCACTCCCATCTGGAGGACCAGTTCAAAGGACATTTCCTCCAAGACTCCTCAGTACCCCACCCAGCCTGTGCTGCCCCAGCAGGCTGCCCCGCTCTGCAGTCATACTGTGCACGGCTTCAGCCTTTTCCAGCAGAACCCCACGTGGACCAGGCAACACACACCTGCCTCATCACCCCAGGGCCAAGAGGCAGGGACATGGGGAAGAGGAAGCCCACTCTGGGGAGATGAGAGGCCTGCCGCTGGGGTGCCCTTGGACCCAGGGACCCCTACTGGGACAGTGAGGCCAGAAGGGAGTCCAAAGCCAGAGAGGGTCAAGGACCCAGAGGCCACGGCATGGCCTAGAGGGTAGAGGTGCCCCAACTGTCCCAGAGGACCGGAAACTAGCACAGTGCCTGATGTGCAGGGGCTCAGTAAGGCTGAGGTGGCTCCAGTCTGCCCAAGTGTAACCCCCAAAGTGGGCTTGCCTACTTACCCGGGAAGTGGGCAGAAGGCCCCCTACTCCCAGGAGGTGGGTGAGGGCACTACATGCTGGGCCAGATGGGAGAGGGAGTGGAGTATCCCAGTCTAGCCCGGAAGAAGGCCTAGTCCTGCCCAGAGGTTGCCACAGCAGTGGAGGGGACCTAGTGCCACCAAGACCCCCCCCTTCAGGTCCTAGCCTGGTAGAGGTAGAAAAGTGGTCACCAGACACGAAGAGTCTGAAACAGCGAGGAGTCAGGCACCATTTTTTATAAAAACGCATAGTATCATTTTCCACTCTAAAATCACATTCAAAAATCGGCAAAGAAACGCCCCGGGAGTGAGTAGACAAGAGGGGAGGGCGCCGACCCAGTCCCGGGGAGAAGGCGCGACACCACACATGGCAGCGCGACTGGCACAGGGGGCATGCGGTGGGTGAGGTGGTGCCCGTGGGCAGTGGCACTGACAGGACGTGGGCTGTGGGGCTGGACAGCCAGGGCTGGGGGCACACTGACTGGCCTGGGCAGGGAGGGCTGGCCCCGACCACAGACCTTCGCTGTGCCACCCAGCCACCCTGCTGGCCAGCTGTGGTCCCAGGAAGGTGAGGTCTCACCCAGCCTGGGGTGGGGGGCACCTGGGGCCAGGCTTGGCAGGTGTGGCCCAGCCCACAGGTGCCTTTCCGTGGTCCTGAGCCCAGGGTTGGCGGGAAGAGGAGGGCTGCGGGGAGCATGCTGCCAATGCCGCCCTCCACGCGGAGCCCCACAGTATCCAGGGCAGGGGGATGGGGTCATCCAGTGACATGGGGGCTTTTCCTGAACAACGGCCCAAGAGACCCAGTCACCTCAGGAGGCCTTGGGGGCCAGGGAGACAAGGGGCCTCTCCTCACCAATGGCCAGAAGGCAGGACAGCACAGGGCCCTGGCCCTCTGTTGCAGGGGGGGCCTGTGGTGGGAAAGTTCAAGTAGTATCCCTGTGCTGTGCCCTCCCCTGGGGGGGGGACGCTGGACCACCTAGCTGTGCCGTGGCAGAGCACGGCACACAGGGCCTGAGGTGGCGCAGCTCAGTGAGGCTTCATCCCTGGGGAGGGGTGGAAGGGCTGCTGGGGGCTGCTGCTCTCCCCACAGGAAGACACTGGGAGTGGGTGGCCCCAGGGGTCAGGCGGGGCTCTGGACAGTGGCTGGGTCGGTGGCAGCAGGAGCTGAGGCAAGCGGGCCCCTCCCTGGGGGCTGGGCCAGGCTGGGGCCACAGGAGATCACAATAATTACAAAATAAAACTTTTTCCGCTTTGCGGGAAAACAAATAATAAAAATTCGACAAAATAAATTAGAGGTTTATAAAAGGCGGGCGGGTGGAGGCGGGTCAGAGGCCGTTGGCGCTGCCGCGCTGCACCAGCGGCACCTTGCTCAGCTCCACCACGGGCGAGCGCGGCTTGTTCTTCATCTTGGGCACCCGCTGCACCAGCTGCTGGGCTTCTCGGTAGGCGTCTCGCAGTTCCTTCTTCCACTGCACCAGCTCAGGGTCGCTCTGCACACAGCGGCCGTCAGCCCCAGCCAGCAGCCCTGCCACCCACCCGCACCGGGCCCCTACTCACATCGCACTGCAGGACGAACTGTTTGCCACCGCGGATCTTGAGGAGGAGGCACTTGCGCTCCTTGATCTGTGTCTCCTCCACCGACTGGATCTCCTCCATGGTCAGCAAGCTCTGCTGCGGGGCGGCCAGGCGGTGAGGGGCAGGCCTGCAGCCACCCCCACACCTGGCACCCCGACCTCAGACCCGCTCCTTACCGGGGCCTCGCCCTCGCCCCGCCACTCCAGCCGGTTCGGGAACAGGTAGAAGTACCGCCGCTGCCACTGGGTCAGGAAGGGGTTGCCCATCTTGGACATGTAGCCATGCATGATGCAGTCCTTGCCCAGGGCGTAGTCTGACGCAAGAGACCAGAGAGGCAGGCTCAAGCCCAGATTCAGATCTCAGTGTGGCCACTTGCTGGCTGTGGCCTTGGGCGAGGTCCGCAACCCCAAGCCTGGTTCTCATTTCTACAGCAGCCGCGAGCCTCACCTTCCTCGTGGCCCAGCTGCTTGTTCTTGGCCTTCTTGCGGGCTTCCAGCCGGTCTGTCTCAGCATTGATGGTGTCAAAGACAGTTTCTGCCACCTCCTGTTGCCACCGCTCCGAGATGGTGAGGGGGAAATTGCGGTAGAGCTCCTGGTCGCTGTCCAGTAACTTCATCAAGTGCACAGGGCAGAGCCACACAGATGGACAGAAGGTGCCAGGACATCATTAGCCACAGGCCTGCCTAGGGCCTTGGCACAGGGATGGTCTGGTCTAGCCGCCACCCCCCAGGGAGGTCTAGGGAGGAGGAAGTGTGGCTCACAGCTGACAGGGCCAGCCCAGGGCCTCACAGGGACACAGAAGGGGCAAGGAGCCCACAAGGCGAGGCTGGGCCTCAAGTGTGAGGCCAGGCAAGGCCCAGTACCTTGATTCCTTTTGTGTCCTCTTCATCAAAGGAGCCAATGTCAAAGGCGTCGGCTGCATTCACCTCCCCCCGCGGGGGGATCAGTGGGGGCGGGTACTGCAGCAGAACAGGGGATGGGCTGTCAGCATGGGAGGGGGCTGCAGGGACCCAGGCCGGCCCACACAGGCTGTTACCTTCTGTAGGAAGACCATCTGCCAATCCAGTGAGCGGAAGAAAGGACTCTCCTTCACTTCCTGAGCCCTGTGGCGACACAGAAGCCTGTCACCAGGGCTTGGCACCACCTAAGGCTAGGCCAAGCGGTCAGGCTGGACTCGGGCTTAACTCTTGATTCAGCCACTTTCTGGCTCTGTGACCCTGGACGACTTCCTTAACCCTGAGCCTGTTTCCTCATCTCTAAGATGGGAGAACAGCAGTTCCCACACCACAGGGTTATTGAGTTTTATGTATTTTGGGGACCAGGGACTGAACCCAGGGGTGCTCTACCACTGAGTTACATCCCCAGCCCTTTTATTTATTTACTTATTTATTTATATTTTGAGACAGGGTCTTGCTAAGTTGCTGAGGCTAGCCTCAAAATTGTGAGGTTCTGGACAGGGGCTATGGCTCAGCGGTAGAGCGCTCACCTAGCACGTTCGAGGCGCTGGATTCAATCCTTAGCACCACGTAAAAATAAATAAATAAAATAAAGGTATTGTGTCCAGCTATAACTAAAAAAATATTTTAAAAAATGAGGTTCCTACCTTAGCCTTCTGAGTAGCTGCACACATGCTACTATGCCTAGCTTATTTTTTTAATATATATTTTAATACCTTTATTTCACTTATTTATTTTTATGTGGTGCTGAGGATCAAACCCAGGGTCTCGCATGTGTGAGGTGAGCGCTGTACCACTGAGCCACAGACCCAGCCCTAGCTTATTGTTTTAATATGGGTAATTTAGTAACACGCTGCCCAGCACTTAGTAAAAAGCTGCTTTTACCTCCTCATCATCTTGGGTACAAGGGCCCCTCTGGAAGCTGGGCCCTGGTTGGCTCCTGGTTGGCACCAGCAGCTCCAGCCCGGGCAGCCCTTCCACCCTGAGGATATTGGATAGTGATGGCTCTGAGCCTACTTGTGAGCTCCTCAAAGGAGGCTGGGACCTTGGAGGGGGCTCCGTCCACCGTGGGACACAGTCCTCAACCTTAGGGGGCCAGTCAGAGGCCTGGGCAGACTGGTGAGCAGCCCATAACAGACCCAACACAGCTGCATGCCCGCGTAGCCAGGGCACTCACCCACGGCCCAGGCAGCCCAGCCTCCGGTTGACATCCCTCTGCAGCAGACCCTCCAGCAGGGAGCGGAGTTCAGGGGAGAAGGAGTCGGGAAGCTCCACGGCCTTTAGGGAGAAGCAGGACACCGAGAGGCTGAGGAAGTGCCCTAAGCCCATCACAACTCTTGGTGGGGAGGGTTAGAGCTTCCTAACTGGCCCCCTGCAAGTGTGAGCTGTGACAATATGGAGAAGGTGAGACCCTCCAGACAAGAGATCTGCCTCCCAGCAGCAGTGAGGGAACCAGAGGCCTGAGTTCTCTACTGGTCAGTGGGAACCACCATCGTGAAACCTAGCACCCACCCGAGACCCCAGCAACCCTGCTGTCCCACATTGGGACCCCTCTGGCTCACCATTGTCAATGTCATACGGTCAATTTCGTGCTTGTCTTTGGTCTTGTGCTGCCGAAAAGGGCTGTGCCTAAGGGAGAGAGGTCAAAGACCAAAGTCAAAGGATAAGAACAGAGAAAATGACACGGGCCACGTGAATGACCCTCATCCAAAGTCAGAGGTGGTGCCACCCTAACACCCAGGCAGTGGTGGGCCCCACTCCCCTGCTTCCTGCCTGGACAGGGGAAGTCTCCAGGCCCGTCCCACTGCCCGCCCTGGGGCCCGCTCACCCCCGCAGCAGCTTGAAGAGCATGCAGCCCAGGGAGAACCAGTCAGCACTGCTGTCGTAGGCCACGCCCTTCTGCAGGACCTCGGGGGCCATGTACCCGTGGGTGCCCCTGTGGGAGCAAGGAGGCCATGAGTGGGCGGGTGGGGTGCGGGGAGGCAGGGGCTGTCCGGGCACTCACACGCTGGCATGGGGCTTCTTCTTGGAGAAGTCGCAGGCCAGGCCCAGGTCTGAGATGCGCACGTGGCCATGTTCGTCCAGAAGGATGTTGGCCGGCTGTGGAGGAAGCCCAGTGAGCGGCTGCCCGCCTGTCTCCACTTGAGAGAATCTGGGTGCTGGAGACAAGGCCCAGGTGGGGTCTTCCCCTCCCTTCCCTAGTCCCAAGCTGACCAGGAAGTGGCCGCATGGGACGAGAGGTGGGGGTCTGAGGGGAGGAGATGGGCCAGGAACCAGGTGTGCTGGGGGCGGGCACGGGCACCTCACCTTCAGGTCCCGGTAGACGACGAAGCGGTTGTGCATGTGCTCCAGGCCTAGGATGATCTCAGCCGCATAGAAGCGCATGTCGGCCTCAGAGAAGACCCCGTGCTGGGACAGGTGGTAGTGCAGATCCCCGCCTGAGGGAGGCAACCGTGGAGTGGCACTCAGCTGGCTGCCCCAGCAGGACCGGGGGCCCCTGGTGCCGGCCCTACACTCACCATTCATGAGATCCAGGATGAAGCTGAGCTTGTCCGGCGTGTGGAACGCATACGACATGCAGACAATGAAGGGGCAGTCCTACGAGGGAGGGGCGGTCAGCAGAGGCTGCGTGTGGCTGCTGGCCCGCTGCTCCCGGGCCCACGGGGCGCCCGTGCTCACCCCAGTGCTGACGAGAGAAAGCATGATGCGCTCGTTCAGGGCCAGGGTCTCCCCCTGCTTCATCTTGATGCGCTTCTTGTCCAGACACTTCATGGCGTACCTGGGCAGGGTTGAGAGGGAGGGACGGCTGTGGCCTCGGGGGACTTATGGGAAAGCGTGTGACAAAATCAGAACTTCAGAGAACACAGAGGTGCTGGAAGGTCAGAAGCTCTGAGGAGCCTGTAGGAGGTGACAGCCAAAGCAAGACGGGGAGAAGGGGACAGCATGTGGCCGGCTGAGACTGCCCATGCAGGGGCACTGGTCCCCCTCACAGCTCTTCCCCAGGATGCCCAGGCTGCCCAGGTGTCCCTGCCCTCTCAGGCATTTGCCAAATGCCAACTGAGCAGGGTGCTCACATCTTGCCCGTGTCTGCTTTCCGGCACCCGTAGACCTCACCGAAGCCCCCACGCCCGATGATGCGATGCACACTGAAGTCGTTCATGGTCAGCTGCAGGGTGGCAACAGCTGGGTCACTGCAGGCTGCCTGGGCTACATGCTCTCTTGCCCCCAGCTTCCCCCACTGGGATGCCAGCTCTGAGCCCCAGAGCCACCACTCTAGTGGCAGAGGGGCAACCCCCCCTGGCTTCCCGCCCCACCCGTGGCCCGGCTCTGGCCCTCCACGCCCACCAGCTCCACTCACGTGGATGTTCAGCTCCACGTTCTTCCACTGGCAGAATCGTGTGAACTTATCGCTGTAAAGAGAAGTGTCCAGGCTCAGGTAAGCCTCAGAGAGTGGGCAGGATGAGGCTGGCATGAGCCAGTCCACCCCACTGATGCTCCCTGGGGTCTGAGAAGCTCAGAGAGGAGGGCACTCAGTCTAACCCAGACTTCCTGCCACCACATCCACCACTAGGCTCGTCGTATTGCTGCTTACATACCTCCAGTGACACAGAGCTCATTCCCTGTGAAGCCACCCACCCCCTGCTGAACAGCTGTGACCCTAACAATGCTGTTACTTATATCTACCTGCAATGTCTACGACACCCTGCCAACCGCCGAGCGGTCATGAAGGGCAGGGTTCGTTCTGTGTTCAGGACCCTGAGGCTCCTCAGGCCAGGCGGGCCTGGCAGGGTGCTGTGCAGACGGGGAGGCAAGGTGCACGGGGGTGGAGGTGGGGGGCGGGGGGTGAGGTATCAGGGACAGACTTTGAGGAGCCTGGTGCTGAGAGGGCAGGGGGAAGGAGATGACTGGGAGCCCGCCTGACCTCCAGGAGTCTCTGCAGCGGGACAGTGACAGGCCCAGCACCTGCCCCCTTGGGGCCTTCTGTTCCTTCCTCCCCCTTATCGGGCCCTGCACTCACCTCTCGATAAATTTCTGGAACACGTCTCCTCGGAGGTTGTGACAAATCTCCTCGATGTATGGCTGCAGAGGGAGCTGGAAGTGGGTGACTGGGCCCTAAGGCAGTGGCTGCCCAGGCCCCGCCCCTAGTTGCCCAGGCTTCTGGACCTGGGGCTGTCCCAGAAGACCCTGGCGGGGTCGGATGGGGCCAGCAGAACATGAGCCCAGCACGCACCTGGAAGAGATCCGGAGGCACCTGCTTCTTCACCAGGTGGCCCTGGACATGCTCAGTGGCACTCTTCGAGAAGGGCTGGGGGGGACAGAGGTGGCCGTGAGTCCTCCCCAGGGCCTTTCCTTCCCTTTCGCTCCCCAACGGCTCAGGCAGCACGGGGCCGGCTGGGGAGACGGGAGCTGGGGGGCCACTCACGTGCGAGCAAGCCAGCAACTCCTTCATGATGTAGGCGTCGAAGATCTCCCGGCTCCGGGCCACGCGTTCCTCCTCCGTCTCCAGCTTCTCATATTTCTTGATCTGGAGGGCACAGGGCACAGATGCCAGGTGGCGCACAAATGTGGAGCAGGGCCTAGCCGACCGCCTGCCCTGGGCCAGGCCCCACCTCACCTCCTCGTAGAACTCCACCAGGGGCTTGGCCTCCTCCAGGTGGTTCAGGCAGAAGTCTCGGAAGAGCAGGTACCCTGAAAGAGACCAAGCTGGGTCACCCTGAGCCACGTCTCCTCCCGGGTCTTCCTGTCACTGTGGAAGAAGTAGATTTGGGGCTCCCTGGGCAGAACCGGCCAAGGTAGCAGCAGAGGTCATCTCTCCCAGGCTGCGGCCAACCTGAAGTTTCTTGGCTTCTAGGCTGGGCCCTGTGCTCTGTCCTTCCCAGAACCTGTCCCTTCAGGAGCTGGCGGGAAGTGGCAGCACATGGTACCGCAGAGGAGGGTGCCAGGAACCCCCGGTACCCAAGCCTTGTGCCCCCTCTGAGAGGCTACACCACCCACCGGTGGGCCAGGCAGGTGCAGTGGGATTCTATCCGGGCCTCCAGGATAGTGGGATTCTATCTGGGCCAAGTCAGGCTGCAGCAGGTGGCTCTGAGGGAGGCCCCTTTCCCTTCCCCTGCCTGCTCCACACATGGCTGACTTTCACAGCAGCCCTGGTAGGGAGGGCATGTGCAGATGAGGAAACTGAGGCTCTGAGGCTCAGGGAGGTCTGTCAGACATATGGCATTTGGCAGAGGCATGAGCAGGGAACTCGGGGCTCCTCAACCCAGTGAGTGGTTCCCAGGAAGGTGGGTTGGAGGGTGAGGCTTCAGGGCAGGAGCATGGAAGTGTAGGGTGAGCTTTAAGAAGGGCCCCAGCAGGCCCTGGACGGGGCACCTTCACCCCTGCCTGGGAGTAAGGTTGAGGCCTGGCCCCAGAGCAGCTGTGGGAGGACGAGGCAGAGCTCAGAGCACTCCTGTTCCTTCCTTGGCCTCCAGCTGACAGGTGGCAACACTTGAGCTGGTGGCTTCCCACACCTCTCGGGGGCACCGCCCTGGTAATGTCGATGCCTCAATTGCCTGGACACCTCTGCGTGAGCTTGCAGCTGTCCTTTCTTAATGTAGTGCCTTTGAGTAACATGGACACCGTCTCCATCCATCCCTGTCAGTCCTGGGCAGTGGGGCTCGTGAGTCCCATTACCCAGATGAGGAGAGGTTCAGAGAGGTGAAGCAAGTTTCCCAAGGTTACTCAGCATAGGCCTGGGACCCAAACTGTGTGCTTCCTGGCACACACTGACTCTTCAAGACTGACCTCTACCGCCTGATCCTGCCAGGCCACTCCCAGATCCTGTTCACGGGAAGGCTGGGAAGGCCAAGAAGGCAAGGCCAAAGCTCAGCCCAGTGGGGCTACAGCTGCTCCCCTGAGGACTGTCCCAAGCCTGTCCTCTGGGCCAGTGGGGCAGACTCAAGAAACTTCCAAGACAAGAGGCACCAGGCACCAGGAAGAAGGATGGGGCCCCCAACACCCCCGCTCGCCACAGAGGCAGGTTGCTCAGAGGGCCCTTGGGGGCGGGGCAGGGCCAACCACAGCTGGGCAGGCGCCACAGGAAGGGCCCCGCCTCTTCCTGTCAGTTCTACCAACGGCCCAGAGCAGCTGTGGCTGGGCCAAGGGGAAGCTGCAACTCTCAAAAACAAAAACCCCAAAGGAGGAACTAGCCTGGCAGCCCTGGAAGACCACTGGGCACTGTCCCCTCCCCATCACGGGGCTCCCTGGGCTGACAGCCAGGGGCTGGCATGCACAAGGGTGGCAGCTCCATGGGGAGTAGCCCCTGCAGCCACCTTGCCCTGAGTGGATGGGTGGCCAACCCTCCAGGTACAGGGGAGCACAGCCCAGTCAGTTGCAGGGGTGGCAGGAAATCAACATCAGGGTCCTCTCTGGGGGCCTGGGCAGCTGGACAGGGTGGGAAGCCCCCGAGCTGGCACAGCCACGGCTGCACTCACCCAGCTTCTGGGAGAAGATCTTCTCGAAGGTCACCTCTCCCCGGTCCTCCAGGTACTTCTGCATAACGCTGCGGATGCTGTGGGGCAGAGGGGGCGCAAAACAGGGGGCGCAGCTCAGCGGGGCTGCAGGCCCTTCCCTGTCCTGCCCAGAGTCTGAGTAGAGCCACTGATGGTGGGAGGTGGCTGCCCCGATGGCCTACTCACTTATCCTGACCACAGGCCACAGGAGATGGACCCGTGCCTCCCCCGCTCGGAAGCCCACCACCTGCAGAAGCAGCACTGGCTTTGAGAATCTGGCCACACTGCAGCAGCCAGGGTTTGTCCACTGGCTGATGAACAGATACACAAAATGTGCCCGTCCATCACCCACACGATGGCCTATTACTCGGCTACAAAGGGAAGTGAAGCACTCTCACGCCTGGCATGGCTGAACCCTGCGGATTATGTCTCAGGAAAGACAACGGTCCTAAAAGGCCAGGTTGCATGACTCCATGCATGTGACTCTCTAGAACAGGGCAAGCGACAGGGCGGGCCTGCCGATGGGCACAGGGTCTCCTTTCGAGGTGATGGAGGAAGTCTGGTCTTATAGGGGTGGGGGCTGTACAACGCAGTGGACCACCGCACCATACAGTCTAAAGGACAAACTTTGTACTGTATGGATTGTGTCTCGACTTAATAAATAGTTCAGGGGAAAAAAAAAAGAAAACACAAGCCTCAATAGCCCACAATAGTTGGTCAAATCGTGACACAGATGTGGGGCTTCCTGCTAAGGGCTGTAGGTAAGGGTCTAGCCACTGTGGGCCTGAAACCAACCCCCACCTTAACACTGAGCAAGGCCTGGGGAAGCCACACCAGGCTACTCTCCAAGCTCCAGATGCCACCTTGCTGTCCCCTCTCCTCTCTTCTAGGCCATTTGCAGCTCAGCTCTGCCAGCCTGTCCCAACATGGGTGACTGGTGAGGAACTGCCAGCCAAAGGACAGACAAGCAAGACCCACAGGGCAGGGGGAGGCATAGCAAAGGACAGAGGGAGGTCAGGTCCTTGGGTGCTGGGAAGACTCAGCCAGGGCACAGACCCTACGGGACCACCATGGGAGGAAGCCCAGACAGATGACAGACAGGAAGGAGGGGACTGGGGCTGCCAGGTGGCAGGAGGAGAGTTTGCTAGCCTGTTCCATGAATGGGGCTTCCAGGCCTTGGGCCCAGGGCTCTGCAAGAATGTGGCTTCAGCCCGGGTGCCGTGACGCATGCCTGTAATCCCAGCAATTCGGGACGCTAAGGCAGGAAGATCTCAAGTTCAAGGCCAGCCTCAGCAACTTAGCAAGACCCTGTCTCAAAATAAAACATATAGGGATGGGGACATAGCTCAGTTGGTGGAGTGCTTGCTTCGTGCACAAGGCCCTGGGTTCAATCCCCAGCACCACATAAACAAATAAGTAAATAAATAGACTAAAACACACAAAGGGCTAGGGATGCGGCTCAGTGGTTCAGCACCCCTGCGTTCAATCCCTGGTACCAAAAAAACTTTAAAAAGAATGTGGGTCCAGTTATGGCAGTAGGACCCAAGGCCTGCTGCCTCCAGCCCTCCTTAGGAGGGAGGAGACACCCCTAATCACAAGCCCACAAAGATGTCGTAAGTATAACCCTCACCTGCCCCCAATCTCACAGGCTAGAAGATCCATGACCTCTCAAAGCTGCCTCTGACAGGAAGTAGGGCCCTGATGACAAGGACAGGCCTGACAACCCTGTGTTTCTGTTCTGAGACTCTTTTGGAACAGACCCTGTCTAGCAAGGAAGGAAGAGCTGTCAACCCAGGGCCAGGTACCCCAGCACCCCCACACTGCCTCCTCGAAGGACATTCTCTGAAAACCAGCAGAGTGTCTGGAGCCAGCACGCACCCCACATCCACGAGGGCACACCCTCCCCTCCTGCAGGCCACACATCAGTTCGTATCACCATATGATACGAACCACCCATGTGGGACATGCTCCCCCCACCTTGTGGAACTCACGTGGACCCAGGAGACCAGGACAGAAGCCAAGTCTCACAGGGTCTCACACAGCGCAGGAGCTTGGCAAGTGTCAAACTGAGACTCAGCTCCCTGCTCTGGGGCTGCAGAGGACACCTAAGCTGGGAGACCCTGGGTGCAGTTGGAGTGTGTCAAGGCCCGAGACCTGACAGCAGGACACGGGCATGGAGCCCAGGAACCTGTGAGGCCTGTGCCTGGATCTCACCTGGAAAGTGATCCAGGAAGGCAGGACCCTTCCCAACCCCTGGCTCGGCTCAAGGCCTCTGCTTCTGCACCTGGTTCTTGTATTCTGGGACATTTTGGACCACAGGGAAGAAGATGAGGAAAAGCAATAAAGAAGGAAAAAAAAAAATCACAAAATGTCAGTCTCCCATGGCAGTGGAGGGTCAGGTGAGATGTACAGACAGGTAGGTGCAGACGACAGGCCAAGCAATTCCAGCTGCCAGGGGGACCCCACCAGGAGCTGGGCATGGCCCTGGGATGGGGAAATGGGGACTCCCTGGGAAGCCCTGAAGAAGCCCCAGAATGTCTTCCTGGGAACCAGCACAACTAATGCCAGCTTGGCCCAGGGAATGCCCACCCAGGAGCCAGGAAGTAGCCACCACCATTTCCTGCTATGTGGCTCAGAGAGGCCACAGTAGACACACAAAGGCCCCCCATGGGGAACGTGTGGGTAAGAGCCCTGCCTGCAACAGCCAGGGGGGCCTGCCAGGCAGGGCCTTCTCTCTCCCAGGGGCTCTGCTGTCGCCCAGGCCCAGAGCACCCAAGAGCAGGACCCCAGGCTCAAAAGTGGCCCCCCTCAGAAGCCACGCCTGAGCATGGCCACAGCATTCCTCCCAGCCCACAGCACTTCATTTTCTTCCTTAAAAAGAAAAAAGTCTTTTTAAAATAAAATAAACAACCCCCCCAAAACCAAACACAAGGTCAGGCCTGAGCAGAGTCCTTGAAGGCTGGGCCCCCAAAGTGGCAATTTTAGGGTTTCCTGTTCATCCCTAGGGGGTTGGTGGCCAAGGAAACAGGCAGGCTAGAAACACGCGTCACGGGGGTAAGCCCCTGCTAGTGTGGCAAGTACGGCTGCATGGAAGGCAGGGTGGCCTCCTGAATTGGTCACCTTCCTCCCAGCACCTGCGGCCTAACGCCCGCAGGGTGAGAGGCAATGTGCCCAGAGAGGAATCCCTGTCTTTAACCAACCCCCTATTCAGGGGTGCGTGGCCCCCAAGATCCACTCCAGACCACCAAGAGAACAAAAGGTGCCGGGCGCGGTGGCGCACACCTATAATCCCAGCAGCTCGGGAGGCGGAGGCAGGAGGATCACAAATTCAAAGCCAGCCTCAGAAACTTAGTGAGGCCCTAAGCAACTTAGTGAGACCTGGTCTCAAAATAAAAAAATAAAAAGGGCTTGGGCTGGGGATGTGGCTCAAGCGGTAGCGCGCTCGCCCGGCATGCGTGCGGCCCGGGTTCGATCCTCAGCACCACATACAAACAAAGATGTTGTGTCCGCTGAGAACTAAAAAATAAATATTAAAAAAAAATTCTAAAAAAAAAAAAGGGCTGGGGATGTGGCTTGGTGGTTAAGCACCCCTAGGTTCAATTCCCAGTACCAAAAAAAGGGAGGGAGGGAGGGAGGGAGGGGGAGAGAGAGAGAGAGAGAGAGAGAAAGAAAACAAAATGTCTGTACACTCTCAGACCAGAGGGCCCTAAGCTTTCTGTTCCCTTTGGGGCAGGGTATCAGGGGTCCCTGTGCTCTGGGAACCGGGTGGTGCCAAGGCCTAGGTTCCAAATGGTTCACCCCACCTCCTTCCTGGGAGGCCTACGACTAGTTTCCTCATTTGCAAAATGAGGCTGTGAGGGCAACGCTGCATGACCCTCAAGCTGCCAGGAGGACACAGCAGAGGGGACACTCCTGAGGTGCCTGGCCCTCTGCTCTGGTGTCAGCTCATGTCCCACCTCCTGGCCATGGGCGAGAGCTGCCCAGGCCCCACTCCCTGGCACCACAGCTCACTACCAGGCTGCTGCTCCTTGTATTAAGACGCTCGCTGGTCTTCTTGTTCAGGTCTAAATTCCACATTTGCCATGTGCTCAGAGGAAGGGACCAGTGGCCAGGCAAGCTCCTCGTGCTGGCTCTGGCCAGGCTGGGCCCAAGGGTAGGACCTGATGTGAAAACAGGGGCTGCCACTCCTCTCAACCTCAGAGCTCTGAGCGCTCCCCTCGATGCAGCTAAGGGCCCAGTGGGCAAGTCTGATGCCTCCCTCTCAAAGAATCTAGGGCACCTTGGCATAAAGGTTCCCAGGAGGCAGTCCAGCCACGGCGGAGAGCTGCTCACTCCCCAATCCTGGCACCCCCTGAAGTTAAGGTGCTCACATGGCTCTGAGGGGCAGACCTGGCCTGACACTGGGACAACTTCCAGTACATTCTGACACCACATGGTTCAGAAGAGCAGGTTCCATGCTTTGTGGTGCAGTGGCTTAGCATGTTGGTCTGAGCCCTTACAGGTGGCTCCTACTCAGGGTCAGTGACAGATATGTGGACTGAAAGCGCCTGCAGGAGTCAAAGGCAAACATGCCCATTTTTTTGAAGAGGCCACAGGGCCACTGACCTAGGAGCCCACAATGAGTGTGGCAAAGAAAATATCCAAGCCCTCCCAGGGAAACACCTCTCAGGCCTTCCCACAATCTCCACAGAACTGCTGGGTGCAGGGTCTCAGGGGACCCTTCCCTGTGCCCACCTTCTGCCCTGCCAGGGTGTGTAGGGAGCAGCAATGTCCCTCCTGAGAGCACATCAGGCTGGAAGAGAGCCTTGGCAGGCAGGGGCTGTGGTCTGGTGTTCTTCGTGTGATAGTGATGCTGACATTGGGACCTGCCACGATAGGGCAAGCTGGCAAGGAGGCCCTAGGCTGGCAAGTTTGGGGCAGCCATGCTGGGAACTGCCACACTCTGGAGATGTCAGTTAACGAGTCTGTGGCTACACTTGAGGTGCTCCCCTGTGGCATTTCCAGGAAACCTGGCACTGAGGTGGCAGCAGTAGGAGGAAGTCCCCTGGGGACTTCTTATTAATATGTCTCAATGACTCTCCCTGGGGCTGACAATGTCCTCAGAGTTCAAGAATGGGGCCACTACGAAATGGGAAAGACCGACCCTGATTGCCAAGTCTTAACTAGTCCATGGCCAAGGAAAGAAAATGACAGCTGGCCCTGCACATACGAGTCTGCCGTGAATGTCTACAGAAGGCCAGACTCCCAGGCTCCCTTGCAGGGATGCACAGAAAGAGCACTTTGGTGGCCTCATCCAATGTCACCAATAAGACATAAGCAGCAGCACCCCACACCTTACTGCTACGGGGAGACCAAAATCTGCCGCCCTGTTAGTATGAGCCAAGAACAAACTTCCAGAGCTTCTTGCCCTGCACTGGGGGGTTGGGGGGGCAGCTGTCTCTACCACAAACCCAGGACAGCTTCCAGAACCGGAGAACTGCCCCCGCCCACATTACTGCCAGAACACCCACTTCTGCGGTATCGCCACTGCCCTTTGCTGTGAGCAGCAATGCAGAGACGAGATGCTGTTCCAGAAAAAAAGCTGCAGCCAAACCCCTCACTTTCAGGATTTCATTTGAAACAGACTAGAAATAACTTGGATGTAACTCCAACCAGAGGAGAAAATGGACCTTAGGAGCCGGGGGGAGTGGGGAGGGGCCCAGGAAGCAAGGGCAGGTATGACGGGGGCTGTGTACTCCTCAAAGACAGTCACGTGCTCCTGGCTCCTGATGTTTATTCCATAATAACCTGGAAGCAACAGCCACGTGGGGACAGAAGAACCCACCAGGCCCAGGGCCTCAGGGCTCAGCCCTCTGCCCAGGAACCTGTGCACAGGGAGGAAACGCAGCTGCGGAGAGGAGCCCGGAGCAGGCCTGCACCTGCCCTCCCAGGAATTTACTGCTAGGGATTGACGGTGCAGTGACAGGACACACCATTCCCAGGCTGACGAAGCCCAGATCCCATGCACAGATCCCGACCTATAATGCTTACGATCCCTTCAAATGCATTTACCGAGGGAACAAGCAGGTAAGCCAGCAACTTAGTGGCAAATCTGTGCAACCCCCTGCTCTGGAAAGGAGGACAGATGGGAAAAGACTTCCCAGAGACCCATTCCTGGGAAACAGCAGCAGCTTCAAAGGCCCTGAGGGAGTGACTGCCGAAAAGATGATCTTGTTTTCAGGGGCAGGAGGGGGAAGAGCGCAGCTACTGGAGTGGAAAGTTCTAGGTAAAAGAGAAAGGCTGGTGGTGGCAGGGTTTCTGCTGGTGATGGAGAAGTGGAGGCAGGAAGGAGGGCGAAAGCCCTTCCTGCACCCCTTCCCCCACTGAGGGAGGCAGGAAGTCCTGGCTGCCAAGGGTTAACAGGAACAGGACCGAGGAGGCAGCAGAAGCAGTGGAGGAAGAGTGGCAGGGTCTGGGGACACAGGGAAGCCAGCAAGGGGTGGAGGGAGGAAGCTGAGGTGGGGGAGGGACCAGGAAATAGCCAAGGCAACGAGGCTGCAAGAGGCACAGGCTCCCACGTGCTGCTGCTGGGACTGCCCCTGTCACCAGGGAGGACAGGGGTACCTCCTGGGACCGCCCAGGCAGGGCTCCTCAGCCAGGAGCCCAGAGATTAATTACACGAGGCCTCAGTGGTCATATTAAGCAAATGACGATAATTACAAGATTGCTGTGGCTGCGGCGGCTGCTGCTGCGGAGAGACAGCAGCTCCTTTGGGGTGAAGTCAGACCACAGACCTGAAAGCTGGAGGGGGCGGGGAGGTCATCAGTGAAGGACAGCCCTCTCATTTTACTGAGGCAGAAACTGAGGCAGGCCTGGCCAGGACGAGGGACCTGCCGGGACCACATGAGCTGGTGCTGCAGCAGGATGAGGAGCCAGGTCTCCTGCCTTCCAGCTACACAACAAGGTCAGGAAGCGGGTCTGCTTCCTCAGATTCTGTGGGTGACAGAAGGGGAGGTCCCTGTGCCAAGTCAAAGTGGCACCATGCCCAACTGCTCCAGTTCCCCAGCCCTGGGAAATCAGGGCTGTGATGCCAACCCCAGCTCCCAACCAACCCACGAGACCAGGCACCAGCCATAGAAGTTGCCAAGCTAGGACCACCCCCAAGGTGGGAACGACTACCGAAGTCACCCTGGCACGGGAACACGTGTGGCCTCTCCCTGACTCTGACCCCATGGATGTTGGGAAGACAGGACCCTGCGTCCGATGGGACCCTTGGCATGGAGCTGCCATTTCTACATACTAGTTTTGCCAAAGCAGCCTGGTTCTCCATTTTAGCCAATGGGAAGGAGGCAGGGCCTCGTGAACTGTGACAGCTGCCAGCACCAGCGGCTGCACTGCTGCTTCCAGATCATCACCCCAGACCCACAGCTCCCCAGACAAGGGGTGCCATCAGCCCATCCCATGAACTGTGGACAAGAGCAAAAGTGAACAGAGGTGGGTGGCAGGGGAAAGCCAATCCCAGGTCTCCTTTGTGACCAGCACAAGTCTCTGCCTCGTTCTGGGCCACAAGGGCTTTTACTATTTAATGGGGAGAAAACCATCCACGGGGCTGCTTCCCACAGCTGCAGAAAGGATAAAACGCAGGGAGAAGCACTTTGGAAACACACAGAAGTACCGGGCAGATGTAAGACAGTCACAATCGCCACAAGGGCAGGAGGTATGTGACCAAAGAGGGTGCAAAGCCATTGCCAAGAGTGGCCTGCTTTCCAGTGCAGAAGGCTTAGCCACTGCATGGCAGTGCTCGGCCCTTGCCTGGCCTTAGCACTAAGCATGTTCAGGATATAGCTGGAGATTCCAGGCTATTTGCTCAATGTCATGTAGCCGATGGTGACCAATATGAGATCCTGGATTCCTGCCTCTCCCTGAAAGCTCACAGCCTGCCTCATTTCTTCTGCTCAGCACTAAGAGACATCACTAGGTCTTGATATTTCTTGAGTAATTACTACAAGCAAGGCTTGGCCTTACAACTTTACAGGTTGCTTTCTGGATCAACTGAGATAGCAGATGTCAAAATAAATAATGAATTATTATAATTTCCATTCTTACTTCTATCATATCATCACTACGTTGGACAGAAAGCGCATATGGAAAGAGGAAGGGCTTGTTTCTCAGGGTTCTAGCACACCTGCAGAGCCAACCCAAGGCGGGGCAGTCAGGAGTGGTGCATTCTGGGGAGAGGTTACACAAATGCAGAGAGTTCCAGAAAAGGCCTCGCCTCACACTTTGCAGAACCCCGACCTGCAGGAGGGTCTGGAAGCTGTGGCCTCCAAGGAGAGCCATTCAGTGCCCTGGAGGTTAAGTGCGTTTCCTCCCTCCTGGCTTTGTCATTTCTGAACTCATTTTTGTCCTAACTGTCGCTGCTCCCTCGATGGCCCCAGCTGACAGGCTGGTTCCTGTTTTGAGAAATCTGATTGCGAACGTCTTAGAAAAAAAAAAGAAAGGGCCCCAACGGCCTTTTCAAAACGCAGACTAATTTTCCTCTCCCAGGCCTGGTATTCAGTCAATCTGAAACCCAAAGACAGGCATGGAAGAAGGGGAGGGGGAGAGACCCAAGCAGGGTACCCCCTGCAGCTGCCAGCCCTGCCTCAAAGGCTGAGGACACAGAGTCACTGCTCTTATTTCACACATACACATTTCACAGATGTGAAAACAGACCCAGAAGTGGGAAGGGTCTTGTTTGAAGTTCCATGATAAGACCACAGCCGCTGGAACAGAACCAAATCCCCAGCAGGCAACTCTCAGGCATGAGCAAGGAACTGCTGGGACTGTCCTCCACCCCTCACAGGGGATGGTGGGGGGTGGGCACATCTGCTCTCACAGAGGCAGGGCATCCAGGCCCCAGCTCAGACCGAGTAGTGGACAAAGTGTAGAGCTAGAAGCTGGAAGCCCTGGTGTAGCTGTGGCTACCTTGGATTACCTGGGTGAAGCCAGGCAGATCACTTATTTCTGGGGCTTCAGTTTCCCCACCTGTTCCATAGCACAACACCACACCTGTCCAGCCCACCTCCTGGGCTGCTGTGTGGCTCAAACAATGGGAGAACACTCTATCCACTATAAAATGCGGGACAAGCCCAGGCTACGGCTCACATCCTGTAGGCTTCTGCGACGACATCCTTAACAGTTTAAAGTTTGATACCAGGTGCGATGAATCGGTTGTCCTATAGAGGTGGCAGCCACGGGCCAGTTGCCGCAGGTGTGCTGGGACATCACCTGGTCAGTGGTACCCGTAGGGCACCATGTGCAGGGGAGAGGGTGAAGCGGGAGCTCCCCACCTGAGCGCAGCCCCCCTGGGATGAGGCACCCGCACACCATGGTACCCACCACCTCGGCGCCCTGAAAGCACTCCCAAGCCCAGCCCAGGCGGGGACCCCAGCAGACTCGCTCCCCCGGCCGCAAATCTCCCACAAGCGTGGACCGGAGGGCAGCGGATGGGGCAGTGGAAACCTCGAGGGGCGCGGGTCAGCGGTGCGGTCGGAGAGAGGGGTGAGCGGAGGCAGGCCGGGGAAGGGTGGAGGGCAGCGCCGGGGCCTGGGGGAGGCCGGGGCATTGCTGACAGCGAGCAGGCGGCGGCGAGAGGCACAGGAAGCCGCGGGGCGGCCCTGGAGCGGGCGCCCGGCTCCGGCGCGCGGGGCCTGGGGCTGCGGGGGCCGAGGGGCGCGCGGGGCGCGGGGCTGCGAGGGTCGCGGCGCGGCCTCACCTGGGCTCGGGCAGCAGGATCTTCTTGCTGGCGCGCGCGGCCGGCGTGGCCTTGCTCTTCTCCATGGCCATCAGGTAGCTCACGTCGGCCAGCACCGCCTCCAGGTCGGCCATCTTGGCGGCGGCGGCGCTGCTCCTCCCGCCGCCGCCGCTCGCTCGGCTCCCGCTCTCTCGGCGCGCTCGGCCCGCCCGGCCCGGCCGCGTTCCTCGGCCCCGGAGCCGCCCGCCGCCCGCCGCCCGCGGCCCCGCTT